GTTTAGGGTTAGGTTAAGGGTTAGGATTAGGTTTAGGGTTAGGTTAAGGGTTAGGTTTAGGTTTAGGGGTTAATTTTAGGATTAGGGTTTACAGCGTGCTTCTGTCTCCGCGTCAGTGACACGGTTTAGTCGGTCGCGGTTTAGTCGAGCGCGGTTTTGTGGTGGAACCGAAATAAATAGCCACATTATAGGCACTAATGCAGTGTCAGTGACTCAACAATGAATCCACAGGGGGAAAACAATACTAACAGCAATTTAGTCTGGAAGACATAATCACAGGTTAAATACTGTAAGTTCATATGCGAGTAAAGGCAGGTGAGTGAATACTTTTGGCAATATAGTGTATCAGCTGTTATGTCCCAATGCAAGGGGACTTACCTACTGAGGCAAAAAAATTGGTAAAAGCTAACAGTCTTATTGCTCACATTGGAGGCCAACATTAAGCACTACTTTGATAGCTAGTGCGGCTGCTCGGCTAACAGGAGCAGCAGCTGCCAGGCTTTTGACAGCTCCTTATATAGTGGCCCCAGTTTCTCCTCAGCCAATCAGGGCTTGGCAGATTCTGGGTCAGGCACGGACTAGAGGGAAGACTGGATACAACATCAGCACTGCGTAACCTACAAGCCTAAGGAGCAGAGCAGAGGTGGGTTCCTACCGGTTCGGTAGAACCGGTTGGTCAAATCTACTGAACCCATGAGAGGAGGTTCCACCGGTGGAGCCGGAAGTAAGTTCTGGAACGCCTGCCCCAGCCCTGTCGCTCTCTCGCTCCCACCCGTGCAGAAGCCGCTTCATTGCTTGCTCCCCCGGCCCATCCGCACTATCCTAGCCCCGCCCACTGCTCACTGATTGGCTACCTCATCAATCTCCCCTCCCGCCTCTAAAGTTTGGGTATCTGTAGGACAGGTCCCCAACCCCCAAGCTGCGGAGTGACACCGGTCTGAGGCCAGCTAAGAACCGTACCGCAAAAGCAAGTATAGCCCCATCTGCTGACACATTTGAGATCCGGACAGCACACAAAACTGCATACGCACACACCCCGGTCTACAGAAAAAAAAAAAAAATTCTCCATTGAACTGGTCCCAGGTGCTCAAAAGATTAGGGGGGGGGGCACAGCTACAGGTGGGTTGTGAAGCACACACACACACCCGACAATGAAAACAGCATCACGCTGACCCAATGCAATCTGTACCGCTTTTGTACATGCGTTCTGATGTTGCAAGCATGTGTGAAAGGGAGAGAGAGCTTCTGTTGCACAAAGGCAATGCCGATTTCAACATTTCGGCATCTCCGGAATCTCTTGTGAATCTCTCTGGAATCTCTTGTGCATTTGGTCATCCCTACACGGAGCCATAATTGGCTTCGATTCAACTTTGAAGCTTTTTCCTTCAGTTTGACTTGAGATGATATGGGAACCCAATAGCAATAGCAGTTAGACTTATACACCGCTTCATAGGGCTTTCAGCCCTCTCTAAGCGGTTTACAGAGTNCGGACTTCAACTCCCAGAATTCCCCAGCCAGCTGGGGAATTCTGGGAGTTGAAGTCCGGATATCTTCAAGTTGCCAAGGTTGAGAAACACTGGTCTAGCTAATTCTTCAAGGACAATGGCAACTTTTTATCAACAAACAGCCAAAAAACGTTGGATTTACCAAGAGAAATGATATTGGAACTACTCACAACCTTGAGAATGCATAATATAGAATTCACAAACTAATGCCTCCCAAGGGAATTTGACTTTAACTCCCATCATCCCCGGTGGGTCATCATGCTGGTTGTGGATGATAGGTATCCTAGTCCAGAACATTAAGTGGACACCAAGTTGGGGGGAAAATGGAAAAAAAATATAAGAGAACCTGTTCTAAACTGTGAGCTTTATGGCTATTTTACATTCCCACACAAATCTCCAAGTTCTTATAAACCATACCATTATTAGTCATTTGACGTGGAAATGATCAATTAGTAATATGTTAATGTTTCCATTCAGGATTCTGTGCTTGAAACCTACAAAGGTTTATATAAACTATGTTGTAATAGATTAACAAACTATTCTCTAGCTTTTAATATCTTTAAAAACCCCAAAGGTACATGAAGGTCCTTAAAGATAATTAAAACTAGAGAAGGCAAACTCAACAATTAATGGATTAACTGGTTTTGTATAATTGATTGATGGTAGTGCGGCATCATGGAATCGTGGCTTAAATTTGGATCAAATTGTTCTTATTTAGCAAAGATGGAAATTGTCCTGGAACAGTTATGCTCCTCTGATTGAGGGTATTTTCTCTCCCTGTTGCCTCCCCAGCAACTGGCTTTAGATTGCCCTAGAACATTATGGATTAATCGAACAGATAATATTTGGACTGATGTAGCCTATAAACCTGGCATCCCATTTCTATAGATTCCATAACCCACCCACTTAAGTACAGGTGTTTTATTTGGCCTATTCCAAAATTTAGTAATACGAGGAAGTCTACCGTATTTATTGTCTACCTTTTGTAATTTTTAAACAACAACCTGTTTGTCTCTAGCACTAACTCATTAAGCAATAATATCACTCATCTCAAAGCCGACATGTTGTAAGCACAGTAAAAATAATTGGGATGAAGGAACAAGTTTCTAGGAAGATGTGATCTAGGAACTAGGTGAAGGAACAAGACACAGGAGGAAAAAAAAGGATTTAAAGTGGGCTGCCCAACTGTAAACTATGACATGCCTTAATTTCGGTGTATTCTCTAGTCTCCTCTTTGGGTGTGGCCCAAGGCATTACTACATATTCACCTTTGCCATTTTTTCTACTTGACAGATGCAACAGATGTTTAGCTAGTGTAATACATAAAGGGAAGTTT